CCTTGGGGTCGAGAGCTCGGCGGTCGAAGCGGAGGCCGACGGGGCCGCCACGAAGGTGCAGTTCGGCAGCAGGGCCGCGATCGATGGCGACGAGAATGCGTCAGCGCCGCTTGAGCTCGCAGGGCTCGGCCACATCATAGAGCGTCTCCGAACGCCCCCGTCGGAGGCAGACGCGGCGCGCCCGCGGGTCGGCGGCTAGGCGCCCTGCGAGGGCGAAGCTTTTGATCAGGGGCGCGCATCAAGGAACCATATGCGCATCGTCAGGGTATCCTGGGTTTCTTCGCTCCTCGCGCTGGGCGGCGACTTCGTTCCCGCAGCCATTGAAGGAGCTGCTGCGTTCAGGGTGCTCCGGGCTTCCCCTCGGGCGCACCTCGCACACGGGTTCTCAGGGTTGGGTTTCTTGCGAGGGTTTTTTGCGGCCGCGCCCGCCCTGTGGGCATGGGGGGGGGGGGGGGGCGCATCGACCCGCAATCGCCGATTGATCGCCGATGGGGGCCTGATAGCCCCACCCCGCCCGGGAAAGTTGCGGATTCACGATCCTGGGCTTATCGCCGATCCATCGACAATGTATCGCCGATTCCAGGTCGATGTATACCCCCCCTCTGCATATCTCTCCCCATCATTGCCCTTCACCTGAGCTCGCGAAGAACCTGGCCAGGGATCTGGACGCGCAGGGGCCATTCGCCGACGACCCCGCGAAGCACGCCAAGGCCAAGGCGGCTGACCTTCGCGAGAAGCCGGGCGGGGCCCACGCGCCGCAGCTCGCCGCGTCAAGAGCGGAGCGCCGAAAACCATGCGGGGCAGAAAGCGACAGACAAGGGGAGAAAGGAAAGGCGGGAAGGGCTGCCAAAACATGAAGAAGGACGGAAAGAGAGGAGAGGCGCGCGCGACGACGAAAAACTAGCGACGACGACGATGCCCGCCGCGCCTGGTTTAAACAGGCTGCCCCCCCCCCTCTTCTCCCTAAGTTGAGCGTCGTGCTGGCAGCGCAAAACTCACGCGCCTCTCTATTCATATGAGAAGAATTCGCTACCAAACATGTTCTCCATTTGGTAGGGGGAGCGTGCACGTTCAATGTCGGTCTCCATCCCCCTCGTAGACAGAGACAAGAAACCTTTTTATTATATTGTACAATTTCACCACATGGAGAACACATATGCTCATGGTCGGTGGAGGATTTCTCTCCGCCATGCAGTCGTCCTCAGGACACTGCAGAAGAACGCGGGAACTCACGAACGCAAGAAACGAATACACGTCAAACAAATTAGGCCAGGCTGAGCGGCCCGGTGCTGACAGAGGCTGCCTTCTTCAACCCAGGCGTAGAAAATTAGGCTAGGTGATCCTAGCATCCTGGCGCCCACAGCAGTAGGCCCCCCGTTGCATTTAAACGACACAGGCGCCTGACGCCGATGGCTAGCATGCCTTCCGGCCCGGCCGTAGCGCCAGGTCCTCCGCCCCATCCGTCCATCTCTTCGGCAGCGTGCAGGAAGAACGTTGGCGGGGTGGGCGGTTGAGGAAGAAGGCAGGGGGGTATAATCTTTCCTGACAAGACGCCCCAGCAGCTTCCGAACCCCTTTGCAAGAGGCCACCCATGCCTGCCCGGACGGGGCCACCCGTCCCCCTCTCCCGCGGTGGGTTCGAGCCGCAGCGCCGCGGCAGCGACCTCGCCGCGGGCGCGAAGAGGCCGAACGCCCCCCGGTGGCGCGGCACCGGCCGATCCCCTGCGGCGCGCGCGATCGGGAAGCCGGGGCCGCTCGAGGCGGAGCCGCCCGCGCTGCGTCGGACACCCGAGTGCTCGCGCGTGGGGCCCGAGTGCCCGCGGGCGGTGCCCCCGCCGCAGTCGGGGCCGCTCGGAGGGCACCAACTATACACCAACACCGATCCTGGCCCAGGATCACCCTGGGCCCAGGATCGGAGTATATGCCTTCTTGCGCAAGGCAGGGGGGCGTATACACCGATCCTGGGCCCAGGGTGATCCTGGCCAGGATCGGTGTTGGTGTATAGTTGGTGCCTTCCTAGCCGCGGCGGGGCCCGCCAGGCGCGGTGCTGCGGCCGCCCAGCGTCAAGTCGGGCCTATCCCCGTACAGGAGGAACATCCAACAATAGTTTTAAAAATGTCTGGGGACGATTTGTGTGAGTACTTCGGCATATTTTTGGGGGTATTTTGGAGGGTCTGTTTTAGGTTTTCCTCCAGAATCCTCCTGTAGGGGGACGGGCCCGACCTCAACCCAGCGCCGCGGAGCCCGCTGCGCAGGCGGCGGCACCGGCAGCCCCGCGAAAGATTTCCTGGGCCCCGCCCTCCCGAGTCGATCACTATTTAGAGTGACCTTTCGCCGGGGTGACCTTTGGTGCGGGCCCATCGGGCTCACACCGATCGCCGAGCGCGATGCGATACAAGCGGCCCGCGCCCTGGGGCGTTGGCTCCCTCGCGCCCCCAGAAGCTGCGCACCAAAGGTTTCCTTACCCAGGGTCACTCTTACGCCGAGCCGACCGAGTTCTGGGGTGCCCCACCGGCGCCTTCCCTCCCGGGGCGTCGGCGGCAGTCGGGGGAAGGAGGGCCGCCCTGCGGGCCCTCCGGTGGCGCGAGGGGGCGGCGTCCAGCCTGGCAGCGCCCCCGTCTCAGGTACGATTGCCCGAGATCGCGGCGCCGATTTTTTTCCCAACCATCTTGACGTGTTGGGTCCTCGTTTTGTCCCCGCGTTCTCCTCCCGCCTTCCTCCCCCTCCTTCCTCCCCCTTGCGTTTCGCCCACCCAGTAAAGCGTTGCGTGGCCCCATAGGGAGCTCCACCGAAGGCCCCAGTGCCACCGTCCACATGCGTCCCCCGCACCCATTTCGGCACACCCATCACACGTTTCGTGGCCCCATAGCCTAGCTCCACCGAAGGCCCCAATGCCACCGTCCACATGCGTCCCCCACACCCATTTCGGCACACCCCTCACACGTTTCGTGGCCCCATAGGGAGCTCCACCGAAGGCCCCCGCGCCACCGTCCACAAGCGTCCCCCATTCCCATGTCGGTACAACCTTCACACGTTTCGCGGCCCCATAGGTAGCTCCAACGAAGTCCCCAGTGCCACCGTCCACATGCGCCCCCCACACCCATTTCGGCACACCCCTCACACATTTGGTGGCCCCATAGGTCGTTTCACCGAAGGCCCCAGCGCCACCCTCCACATGCGTTCCCCGCGCCCATTTCGGCACACCCCTCACACGTTTCGTGGCCCCATAGGGAGTTCCAACGAAGGCCCCAGTGCAACCCTCCACATGCGTCCACCCCTCACAAGCTTCGTGGCCCCATAGGGAGCTCCACCGAACGCCCCAGTGCCACCGTCCACATGCGCCCCCCACACCCAGTTCGGCACACCCCGCACACGTTTCGCTGCCGCATAGGGAGCGCCACCGAAGAAGATATTGCTAAGGCCTTACGGCCAGTGCCGCCGACCCTGGATACCTCGGCCCTCGAGAGTGACGGGATGCGTGATAAGACGTCGGAGGTAAATGAAGACGTGGCGGAGGAGGGGGCGAAGAGGAGGAGGAGGAGGAGGAGGAGGAGGGGAGGAGGAGGAGGAGGAGGGAGGAAGGGCAGGAGGAGGAGGGGGAGGGGGAGGGGGAGGAGGAGGAGGAGGAGGAGGAGGAGGAGGAGGAGGAGGAGGCGGAGGAGGAGGAGGAGGAGGAGAGGAGGAGGAGGAGGAGGAGGAGGAGGAGGAGGGGGAGGAGGAGGAGGGGGGAAGAAGAGGGAGGAGGAGGAGGAGGAGGAGGAGGAGGAGGAGGAGGAGGAGGGGGAGGAGGGGGAGGAGGGGGAGGAGGGGGAGGGGAGGGGAGGGGGAGAGGAGGGAGAGTGTGGCCCGGGGGGGGTCGTAACCCGAAAGGGTCTTTAATGGACCCCCGAGCAATAATGGGAAACTGAATAATTGTTCTGCCGGCGTATTGACGGATCGGGACCCCGACAATAGTTGGAAATTCGGCGGATGCATGAGAGGTCATGAGAAGTGCTCAAAAATCCCATCGCTCATCGCTTGGCGGCCTCCTCCTAGGAGGAGGAGGAGGAGGAGGAGGAGGAGGAGGAGGAGGAGGAGGAGGAGGAGGAGGAGGAGGAGGAGGAGGAGGAGGAGGGGGAGGGGGAGGAGGAGGAGGAGGAGGAGGAGGAGGAGGAGGAGGAGGAGGAGGAGGACGGAGGGGAAGGAGGCGGGAGTGGAAGGAGGAGGAGGAGGAGGGACGAGCTTCTATTCCCCGCCGAGAGCTGGGGGGGGGGCATCATTAAAGACCCTCTGCGGTCATCTGCCCCCCCCCCACCCCCTCACCCCCCATACACACACACACGGTGGGTAGGGAGGGTAGGGAGGGGCTTCGCCACGACTACGATTTCCGTCTGTGTCGTGTTCGATTTCCTTTTATTTCGGGCGACGACGATGACGACGACGACGACGACGACGACGACGACGACGACGACGACAACGACGGTGATCCACGCAAGACGACGACACCTGGATGCGTCTTCCACGCGCCGACAGGGTCGGCGGATTCACCATCGCCGTACGAACAACTGCACATGGTCGGGTGCTTCACCAGGCTAATTATTGTTGTGCTGTCGGGCTCTGGGTGCCCTGTCCGCGCCCTGGAACCGTTCGTGGAAGGTCCGGGATGTGTGGTTTTTGGGGGGCTCCCAGGGTCCAGGCACAGCTTCCCTCGGGGGCCCCTTCTAGTCTATCTGCCAAGGGAGAGAGGACGGGGGCAGGGGAGGAGGAGGAACGAGGAGGAGGAGGAGGAGGAGGAGCAGGAGGGAGGGAGGATGAGGGAGGAGGAGGAGAAGGAGATGGGGAGGAGAAGGAGGAGTAAAAGGAGGAGGAGGAGGCGGAGGAGGAGGAGGAGGAGGGCTCTTCGCTTTGTCGCAGTCCGTTCTGTGCTTTTCGGCGCTGTTCTTCTGTACGTTCTCGTCGAGTGTGCGGCACCATTGAGAGTTGTTGGCTCTTCGCTTCAGGGGTGGAGAGTGCCCCGATCAGGTGGAGGGCAAGTTCGGCGCCGAGTACCTCGAGTGCACCGTGCTGGAGATTGGCGAGAAGGTCGCGAAGGTCCGTTGGGCGTTCGACGGAGAGGAGGACCCCGCGGCAGGGCCGGGTGGGCGCCCGCGCGCCCCCTCGCGTCCCGCGCACTCGTGGCGATCGACTTGGGTCCGGGAGAACTGGGGACGAGGCCCCGACGGCAGTCCTTGCCCACTCTCTGCAAGACGCGTTGCAAAGAGGCGCCTGCTCAACAGCGACCGCCGAATTACGTTGGTGGGCGACGTTTCCTTGCCCATGTTCTACGAGAGTCGCTGCAAAGAGTCGCCTGCTCAACAGCGACCGCCGAATTGCGTTGGTGGACGACGCTTGTTGTCGGGCATCGTGCTCAACGTTGTCCGCAGTACCCATTTCGGGCGTGCGAATCCATCCTCCCCGCCGGCAGCCACAGAACTGCCTCTGCTAGCGACCTTGGTATCGCCTGTTCGAGTGCCCGTGAACATCCAATGCCAGAGCGGCTGACTCGGAGAAGCGTGCGACGAAATTACCTGATCATGCAGGGCCAGCCCTTCTCCTCCAACGCGCTGAGGAGTCCAGTCAGCGGTAAAAGACCATGTCGAGCTACGCTCACAGTGGGCAGCTTCGTTGGGAAGGTGTGCGATGAGGCTGCAGCCCCTGGGAGCCGCACACAAGGCTGAGGCAGGGCAGACCGAAGCCAGGCGATGCACTCGAAGGGCAGGGAGCGCCAGCAGCCGACACGTTCGGACAAGAGAGGAGGGAGAATCCGCAGAGGGAATCTATAACTGAGGAGCACTGCCGGGGGCGATAGGCTCAGGTGGGCACACATCGGCCCCCGATCGCCCATTCCGACGTGGGGGCCAGATGGCTCACCCCCCGCCCAAGGGCGCGGCTCTGATGTGGGGGGGCACACCGCCGATCTTCGGAGGAGGAAGAGGTGCCCACATTTCTGCCCTTCGCCGGTTCTCCCCTGCTTTTGGGCCTCCTGGGAGGCGCTCGTCGCCACCACCGGACTTGCCTCGAAGTCCTGGTCAGCACGCACCTGCCCCCTCCGAGGAGGGCCTGGCGCCCGCCCTCGCTGGGCAGCGGCGGGCCCTGGAGTGGAAGCGACGTCGCGCGCGCGCGCGCGGGAGGCCCAGGCGCGACGCGCCCGCGGCACTCTTGGGGCCCGGGCCGATCTGCGATGGCTTTTGGCATCGCTGGGGCGTGTGCACTTTTTCCTCTGGCGAGGACCTCTGAGGATTTCGTCCTCGATCGCTCGGCAATGGAGAGAGAGTCCGCGCACGAGGCCGACACAGACAGAAGCACGGGGCAGGGACGTCCGAGCGATGGCCAGCTGGCCCCTTGGGGCCGAGGCCGGTCGAGGAGGCGCGCGGCGTCGCGCGCGCGCCCGCCCGCCCGCCCGCCTCCAGGACGACGTCGTCGTGGACAAGCTCCGCAGGAAGCCCCCTCCGCCGCCGGAGAAGCCGCCCTGGAAGCCGGAGGCGCGCGGCAGAGGGGCGCCATTGCCAGCGCGCCCAGGGCCCTCCCTCCGCCCCTCTCTTCCCTTCTCCCGACCTCCTCCCCCCTCACTCATCTCCCTCCTCTCCCTCCTGCTCTCCCCTCCTCCCTCGCCTCCCTCCCCCTACCTGGGGCCGCCACGGCCGCCCGTCCGCGTTCCGCCCTCGCTTCGGGGGTCCCGCATGGCCTCGGCCAGAGGCGCCAGAACATTTTTCGGTTCTGAGAACATTTCGTGGTATGACTATAGGAATGCCGGGACGGTCGGTCCCTGCTCAACGGAGGTTTCTGAGGGCGTCTCTGCGGGGGATTTTCCGTCGCCGCGGCAGGGCGCGGCCTGAGCGACTGGCGGTGCGACCGCAGTGGGCGCGGAGGGAGTGGAAGCGAAGACCGACAGCATGTTCTTGCTCATTTGAGCAGGGCTCGCTGTCGGCGTCGCCGGGAGCGCTGTGCACCCGAGACCGCATGGCGCCTGCCATCAATCGGCCGCTGGTGGACTGTGGACAACGTTTGCTGTTGAGCACAGTCCCCGCGGAGGGTCTTTCATGATACGTAAAGGGGTTTCCCCCCACCCCGAAGTTCTCGGCTTGGAATAGTCGTCCCTCCCCTCCTCGCCCCTCCCCTCCTCGCTCTCCCTCCTCGCCCGTCCACCTCGTCCTCCCTCTCCTCCTCCTTCCCCTCCTCGCCCCTTCTGCACCTCGTCGTTCCTTTTTCCCCACCTGTTTCGGTGTGCCAGAATCGGTTGGAAAGGACCTCGTCTTGGGGGGGGAGGCCGGGAGGGAGGGCGGGAGGGAGGATCGGGGGAAACGTTAGGGGGGATGTTCGAGGTTCGATGCGCGAGGTTCGAGGGGGGGATGTTCGATGCTCGAGGTTCGATATTCGATTGTTTCGTTCGTTTTCGCATGTTCTCGTCTGCTTTCCAGCCTCGGGGTGCCTTCCAGCGGCTGCGCCTTGCCGAGAGCGTTCTGTGAGTGCCTGGATTGTCCCGACTGGCCGCCAGAGACCCGAGCTATGACCCGGAAGCACAAGGTAGATGATCAGGATCGTCGCAGTCGAAGGTCCAGGGCAACGGTAAGGGGGGGTAGGTTCCGACTCCCAGTCGCCCACGCATCCCCGATAGGGGCCCGACAGCCCCACTCCGCCCAGCGCGTGCGGATTCGCAATCGGGGGCCCACTGCCGCTTCATCGACGACATGTTGCCAGTCCAGGTCGATGTTCCCTCCCTGGAACCCGTCCCCCCCTGACGCTCCCCGTCAGAGGAGGGCTCAGTGCCTACCAGGGGTCAAAGGCAACCCCTGAGATCCGATCTTGGGGGAAAAGGTAGTACGTCACGAGAGACCACGACCGATGCCCCAGACGAAAGCTCCCTGCAGCATGCTTCGGGGGAGCTTGTTCTGTGATGGCTCTGGGGTCCCAGAGACCTAGCGACAAAAACGCTCGGTGCGAACGAGATGGCAACGCTGCCTCATGGAGCCAGTCGCCCACTGCACGTCACCACCCCTGGAGGGAGCGGGGTCGGACGAACGGGGAGGACCGGCAAAGGGTTAGGTCGGTTGAGGAAATATTCAAACATAGTCAGAACAAGTCGTTTCGGGACTATTTGTCTATTATTTTTGTTTTTGTTGAGCAGGATTCAAAATCCGCCTGTAGGAGGACTTGCCCGACCCAAGGAAAGGCGGGGGTACGAGATCTGGTGCATGCAGCTGGTTTCGGCCCCGCCGCCTGGCGCTGTTCTCGATACATTGGTTCCTCCGGCGCCTGGAGGCGCCGGGAAGATCAGCTGCGTGTGACGCGCTCCCACCCCTAGTATCCCCCCCCCCCCTTTCGTCCGGCCCGAGGGAGATTCTCCGCCGAAGTGGGAAGAGGGCGAGCGCGGCGAGACCTCCTGGGCCGCGGTATGCAGTCAAGACGCTCAAGCAACGATCGCTGAATTGGTTGCAGGCCGGTGAGTTCATGTGTGGGCGAGGCTCGCCACGGCCAGGAAAGCCCCCTCACTCCTCATTCGGCGTCCCGTGTGGCAGCGCGATGGTTGTCGCAGGTAGAGTCCAAGTGCGCGGTCTGCACATCGGGCGGCAGAGAGAGGAGGGGGCGGGAAGGATGGAGACGAGGAGTTGGAGGAGGAGGAGGAGGAGGAGGAGGAGGCCCTCCTGCCTCCCGGGCGATCGACAAGAGATCTAGGCAAATTGGTCCCCTGGAAGTGGTGTAGAGCTCCAGGGGCCGCGCGTTAAAAAAAACGTTGCTTGGCGCAGGACCCAAACCATATGCAGCTGCGAGCGTCGCGAGGCAGGTCAGAAGAAGGATGGGGGGACGTGGGGGGAAGGCATGGGCGGGGGAACCCATGTGATTCTTGCCACTGCGGCCTGCGGTGGAGCTCCGTATGCGGCTGCGACGCGTGTCAGAGGTGTCTCACAGTGCGTGTGGGGGCGCATGTGGTTGCTGCCACCGCGGCAGTCTGTGGAGCTCCCCAGGGGGCCGCGAAGCGTGCGAGAGGTGTGCCACAGTGGTCGGTGGGGGGCATGCTGCTCCTGCCACTGGGGCCCCTCCGGTGTGGCTCCCCGGTGGGGCCGCGAAGAGTAGAGGCGGAGAGGCACTGCGGCCTTCTGTGGAGCTCCCTGTGTGGGACAGCGGCACGTGCGGGGGTCGTCGCAACACGAGCGGGAAGGGGGGGGGCGCAGTGGAGTTCTGCCACCGCGGCCTCGGACGGCCTGGAGGGGGGCGGGCGTCGAACCCGGAGGGGGCGGGGGCCTCTGAGTTGCAGGGGGGGGGGGGGTCGAGCCGGCCCCCCCCCCCTCCTGAACTGACTGGGGCCAGGGGTTCGAACCAGAAGGGGGTGGTGACCCCTCCCCTGTGGCAACCGACGACGGCTAGCGGGCAGCGACGACGACGACGACGACTACGATCGAGTCTTAATAGGATGGTATTAGTCCTGGATCGCGCCCTAGTGAGATTCGATGTTATAGCTGGACCGATCCTTGGCAAGATTCAGTTGGAGCTTGACCTAGCTGCAGTCGGGTGTTCTTGGAGCTGGGTCGAACCTTACTCGGACTTAATGAGAAGTGGATCCAGCTATACGATGATCCCATTGGACTTGGATCTAGCCCGATTCGGATTCTATCGACGTTGAATGGAGCAAAAGCACGATTCTAGTAGAATTCTCTTTGGGAGGGGTGGGGGCGGTGGGCACGTCAACGCGTTCTCTCCTGCCGCGAAACGTGTAAGATGCATGCAAAAGAGGGCAGGGGGGCGCATTTGATTCCTGCCACTGTGGCCTTCTCTGGAGCGCCCTGTGCGGCCGCTAAGCGTGTGAGGGACGTGCCAAAATGGGCGGGGCGGCGCACGCGATTCCTGCCACTGCGGCCTTTGGTGGAACTGATGGGGTCGCGAAAGGTGTGAGGGGGGTGCCAAAGTGGGCGGGGGGGGGCGCATATGATTCCTGCCGCTGCTGCCTTCGGGGGAGCTCCCTACGGGTCCGCGACATGTGTGTGTGTGTGTGTGTGTGAGGAGTGCCAAAATGTTTGTGTGGGCGCGTGGGATTCCTGCCGTTGCGGCCTTCGGTGGAGCTTCCTCTGTTGCCACGAAGTGTGTGAGGGGTGATGGCGGTGAGGACGTGCGGATGGCAGAAGCGGGAGGAGGAGTGAACGCGGGGCGCTGCGGATGCAAAACGAGGATCCAATGCTACATGATGGTTGACACCAACTGCATGATGACTTCAAGTCTGTTGCGTTGCAAGTTGGAAGAGACCGAGTTACGGGCAACATGATTTGACGCACAGGTGTTTACGAGTCCGTTCTGTGGTGCGCATGATATGCATACGTTTCTGTGTGGAGCTGCGGCGCGACTACGGCGAAACACAATTCATCGTTAGAGCTTGTGGCCGCACGTCGTTGAGGTTAGGAGCGCGCCACCCCATCGCTCGATGCCTTTACCGCTAACGGCGAGGGGGGGGATAGATGCGTTGCGCGGCTCCTTGATGGGAGCGTTGGATTCGTGGCCACCCCTGACTGACAGTAAGCCTGGTCCCTCGGTTGTCGATCCCGCCCTTCCTCCTGGTGTGCGAAATAGGTATCGCAGCTGACGGGCTAGTTGGGTCATGTTTCATTGTATTTTTTGGGAAACAACATTCGATGCGCGCGCCGTCGGCTCTGGCGTGTTTCGCTTAGTGGCCACATGATCTGACTGGGAACCCGTGAGCTTCCACACAGGCCCACGTTAGCCACGCGCGAGGCAATCGTGTGTTTGTCGCGAGCGTGTGCTTTGTCGTCTGTGTTTTGCCAAGCGCCAGCTTGCGAATGGGCAAACTACGGGACATCCGATCGTGTATGCACGATGCCACCATTCGCCGTACATGCATCCCGTGAGAGATGTACACACACCAAGCGACAGGCCATTGCGAGCACCATCGGAGTGATGTGCGCGGAGTGTCGTCATGCTATACGGTACGCAACACGGGTTGCGATGTGCACGCAGGCGTACCTGTATATACGTTGGGCTGGACTGTGTCTAAGCATGCACTTTGGAATGTGGTTTGAGGCGGTAGCGCTGCCGAGTTGCGTTGGGGAGCTCCGTTGTGGAGCTGCGTTGTGAATCGGTGGCTGTTTTGGTGTACATCTGACCTCTGACCCCCGCCAAACACACGAGTCTTGAGGGCGTACCTGTATATACGTTGGGCTGGACTGTGTCTAAGCATGCACTTTGGAATGTGGTTTGAGGCGGTAGCGCTGCCGAGTTGCGTTGGGGAGCTCCGTTGTGGAGCTGCGTTGTGAATCGGTGGCTGTTTTGGTGTACATCTGACCTCTGACCCCCGCCAAACACACGAGTCTTGAGGAATATCATTCGCTTCCACCTCCCCTCCTCCTTCTTCCCCCCCTCCCGCTCCTCACTCCCCCCCCCTTCTCGTCTACCCTCCCCACCGCCGGTGTACGGCCCGCTTTTTCCTGCTTCCCCTCGCCCAGAGGGGGGGGGGACCGCGCGCGAGCTCCGTCCGCTCTCGCTGGGTGGGAGAGCGCGCTCCCCTCGGAGGACCTCTCGGAGGCCTCTTGGAGGCCCCTTGGGGGCCCCATTGGGCCCCCAAGAGGCCCTCTGGAGGCCATCCGAGGCCGTCTTTGGTGCATCTCTTGGGCCGTTTTGGAGGCATCTTGGGGCCGTCTTGGAGGCATCTTGGGGCCGTGTTTTGGCCGTCCTGGAGGCCACCTAAGGGCGCCTTTTGGAGGCCTCCTCGGGCCTCGGTCCCAGCAGCAGGGAGTGGCGCACCTTTTCTCTTCTGCTGCGGGAGGGGGCGCGGGAGTGGGCGGGGGCCCCGCTGCCTCGCTCGGCCTGGCCAGCTCGGCCTCCTCCTCCCTCCTCCTCCTCCTCCTCCTCCTCCTCCTCCTCCTCCTCCTCCTCCTCCTCCTCCTCCTCCTCCTCCTCTGTACCGACCCATCCGTCCCTACTCGTCTGCCCCCCCCCCGGGGCTCGACCTGCACACCAAAGCTGGACCCAAACCGTGTTCTGGCGACTTCGTGGGCTGCTTTCGTTTTGATTTCGTCTTGCGTTGAAGGCGGATGGAAGGCAAAACGAGGAAAGACGAAAACATAACGAAAACGAAAAACACCGTTGAGGTTCAGCCCTGCTACACACAGTGTCTGGGCGACGGCGCGGGCCGCGTTCGCTTCCATCCCCGTTCTGCGGAAGAGGCCGGCGAACGACAGCACGAGGAGCGACCACAACAAACCGACAGCGAAGCGCACCCTGCAGGGTCCGGCCTGAATGAGGAACACTCACTTTTCAAGAGGGGCTCGGTCATTCCTTTGGCTTGCATGCGTTCCGCTGCCTCTTTGGCGGCGAGTCCCCCTGGTGTTCCTTCGAACTTCGTAGACTTCCTTGTATCGTTCCTTATGTGCTCCCTCGTTCCTTATTCATCGTTCCCTAGGGCAGAAGAGGGGCCTCGTGCCTTATTGATCGTTCCTTACTATCGCTCCTGATGTATCTCAGGAGGGGAAAAAACACACACACAGACACAATTAATCGACGATTCCCCAGAAAATATAGGGAAATATGGGCAGTGGGGGGGAAGACAAAAAAAACGAAAATATGGGGGATAGTTTTATTGGTGTGTATTTATTTGTGTGTCCTGGGGCCCCTTCAGTATCCTTCGTTTCCGTCCTCGCGAAGAAAAGGGCCCGCGCGGGCTCCACGGCGCGGCTCCGCCGGGAGCGGCCAACGGGCCCCGCCGCGGGGCCCCTCTGGCCGACGGGGGCGGGGCGTTTTTTCCCCGGAGGCCCGCCAGACAGGCAGGCCGTCGGGAGCCTCGAGACGGGGGTCAATGCAAACGGGGGTCAGCCAGGGCCTCCTCCCTCCTCCCTCCTCCTCCCTCCTCTCTCTCCCTCCTCCCTCCTCCTCCCTCCTCCTCCTCTTCTTCCTCCTCCTCCTCCTCCTCCTCCTCCTCCTCCTCCTCCTCAATGCAAACGAGGGTCAGCCAGGGTTGAAGCTCGCTGAGAGGCGCAGCGAACGCGATCTGTGTTTCTGGGGCGACGGGGGAGAGGGCAGTGCTTCTGTAGGGCAAGAGCAAGCATGAGCAGCCCAATCGTCGGCAAGAGCAAACCTGAGATCAGAGCTTATCGCGAAGGGCGGCTGGACGGATTGCTGTTGACCGATCAAGCGCGCCCGACGAGCGTACGGGGATTTTTTTTCCTGGAAACAACGCTGCCCCCCCAGCGACCTTCAAAGCCAGGGCGCCAGATCCTGCAGGTTCCTGCGTAGACCCCCCCTGGCTGACCCGGGTTAGCGAGCCGCTCGTGGCCGCGAGGCGGCCGCGCCTATTGGCTGACCCGGGTTTGCGAAGATCGGCGTTGCAGTTTTTTTTGTTATTCCTGCATTGCAGTTTTTGGTTTCCCGCTGACCCGGGTCTGGATTGACTCGGGTCAGGAGATCCCCGAGGCTGGTGTAGGGAGAGCGCGGAGAAGCGGGCGTCAGGCGATCGCAAACGAAGGGACCGGGCTCTGTACACCGACGTGTTCTACGGCCCCGCACCGACACTCGCACAAGAGAGCGGATTCTGGCGTATACGGGATCCTGGTGTGTACGCTGTTCGTTGCTTCCACGGAAAAACAAGGAAAATAGTGTACACCACACCACTCCGATGTCGTCCCCGACCCTCGAAAAGTTCAGGGACGAAAAACAGCCCGCCTTTGGTCATGTATATTGGAACCTATACATTAACAGTGGCGGGCGGCTTTTCAATCCCAGGATTTTTGAGGGTCGAGGACGACGTCGGGGTGGTGTGGTGTATACTTGTTTCCCCGTTTTCTTGGGGAAACAACGAAAATGTATACACCAGGATCCCGTATACACCAGGATCCGTTTTATTGTTTGCAAGTTTCAGTGCAGGCCCGGAACACGCGTCGGTGCATAGAGTTCGGTCTCTATTAAGGGGGCATGGATTAGCGACGGGTCTTGTTTCCATGGGAAGTCGCGGATGTCCGCCGCCGAACGAGGCGGCACCGGCCGCATTTTCGGGAGGGCACCGATCCCCCCATCCATGGATTTGGCGACCGCGCGCCAGATCCATGGATCGCTAATCTATGTTTGCGCGCCCCCGAGGGTGGCATGATTCGGTAGCAGATCATGGGAGCCTTGTGTCCTCTCGTAACTCCTATCTTTAGAGTTCACTGGCGTAGATTAGCGTCTGGCAGTCGATGAGAGATAGTGCCGATTTGGCGTCGATGAGCGTCGATTTAGCGTCGAGGAGCGCCGATTCGCAACAGCCAGAAAGATTGCATGGGAGGCTCCCGTGAGTTGCCGCAGAAGCATGATGTACTACAGTCGCAGCCGACAGTCAGGATGGGTGACCTTCCCAAGGAAACCCTTGCAGCCGTGCCTCTTCGGTCCATCCTTGACTACTCTCGATGGCCCGCCGCGCCCGAAAAGGCTTCAACACGGGCGTCCAAGGGGCCTGCATCCCTAACCGCGCATCCTTGCTATCGGTTTTGATTGCAGAGCTCTCCGCACCTCCCTATCCCCCCTCCACGCCACGACGATAGGTGATATCGCCAGCCTCAGCATTGGCACCACACCCCTTCATTGGCACCACACCCCCTTCATTGGAACCACACCCCTTCATGCCCCACCTGCTGCTGCTGCTCAGGGCGAACGAGTCCAAAGGATGCAGCCCTTCCCTGCCCTGCCGCGGTGGGCGTGACAGGTGTTGCAAGTGGGCACCACCAACCGACACGGGGGGCTTCCCCTGGAGGCGAGGGAGAACGCGTAGCGGGGACGACACGGGAGGACAAGGCGATGAGGAGGAGGAGGGAGGAGGGGGGGGAAAGAGGCACGCCGAGGAGGGGGGGAGGGGGGGGGGTCCTGGCAATCTCATGAATCCCCTAGCGCCCCCATGCCCCACCCCTCTTCACCGAGCGCGTTCCACTACTCGCAAGGTGCCTACTCGCAAACGTCCGAAAAACACATCTCTGCTTCGATGTAATTTGTCGTAGATCCCCCGCGGCGGATCCAGGCCATTTGCGAGTAGTTGCTCAGCGAGAAGTGGAACGCGCTCGTCTATACCCCTCCTGCCTCCAGAGCAGCCCCCCGAGGGGTCGAGCCCCCCTCTCCTCCCCGCTCGACCCCGGCACTCTCGACCTGCCCCCCCCCCCGCCCCCGTCTCGGCAGGCGGGCGCTCCCGCGGAGGCCAAGTTCGGCCGGGACTTCCGGGAGTGCACGATACTGGAGGTGGGCGACGCGGTCATCAAGGCCTCGGGAGCCAGCCCCCACTGCGCAGGCATGTGGTACAGTGGGGGCGCGCATCAGGAGGCCAGATGCTGTTCGTCGGGGCATCCTGGGCTCTTTGTGTCGCGCCCCGCGCCGCGCGGCGACTTCCCACAGCCGTTGGAGGAGCTGCTGCGTTCAGGGTGCTCCAGGTTTCCCTTCAGGTGCACCTCGCTCACGGGTTCTCAGGGTTGGGTTTCTTGCGAGGGTTTCTTGCGGCCGCGCCCGCACTGTATGGTGGGAGGTTCCGGGGAGGAGGAGGTGCAGATGCCGCTGCCCATTTGCCCCGCTCTTGCCTTTCGGGGCCTCCTCTGCTGGGAGTCCCTCGTCGCCACCGCTAGAGTAACGACTAGAAATTCTGTCAGGACGCACACCTGGAAGGGTCCGGTGAGTAGCGGTATCGGTTCTTTGTGGATCTTCCACTAGTGCGAGGTGTGTATAAGCAAATGGAGAAGAGGGGGTGGAGGATGATGGCAGTATTAGTGTTATGTGTGTTTATTGTTTTTGTTGGGGGCGTCACAGGGCGTCGCTGGATGATCATCGGCGGAATCCCAGACCAAAAAAGCCATCATCAAGGCTCTGGAGTCCGAGGCCTCCCAAATGGGGTCCGAGTAGATGGGGTCGGAGGATCGCGCCGCATCCGCGATGCGGGTCGATTTGAAGCCCGACTTCCTCCGCGCTGGCGTCGCCATGCACCGCCGACGTCGCCGACGCATCGGCGGTACATCGGCGATGCGGCGCGACCCTCCGACCCCATCTAATTCCTTTAATATCCTCTCATAGGGGACCTCTAATACACACGGGGACCATGACCAAGATGTCACAGCATTGTGTCGAAGCCCATGTTGGTCATGGTCCATGCCAGCCGTCGCCGATTCGCGATGTACGGTGACCAAGGTCGACACGACGTTTCCGCGTTCAGTTTTGGTCATGGTCTTTTTGTTCTCTCCATTGGAGGGCTCGTGACCAGCATCTTAAATCGTTCCGTGGCGTTCCCGAGGCACTTTGGAACGGTCGCAGCGCCCGATATCTTCCAAAACCGTCGGGTCCCAGAGATCTCCGATTTGTCCCAGTCCGAGTTTGTCCTGGTCCTGGCTTCGTCTTAGTTCGTTGTCGTCGTCTCCTGAACATCAGTTGAACATCCTGGCAACGGTTACGGAACATGAACGGGCACATCACCTCGACACCAAACCGAGTCATTGGACGGACACATCGGCAGATCAGCCCGCGGTGCCCGCCGGGCCTCTTGTCTAACGCTCACATCCCCATAGTAGGCTTTCACTAACAATGTCATATTCGTTTGTCCAGAAGGTCTGGAGTGCTTCGTCAGAGGCGGCGTTCGGCGTTCATTTGGTTCTTCGATCTTGGGTTTCCCGAGCGTTTCTCGGGTTCCTCGGGCTTGGGTTCCTCGCTTGGGTTCCTCGGGCGTCCTCGCTTCGGTAACAGTATTCCATGGGCTCGTCCAGCAAAATGCCAAGCACTATCAAATAGAAGCCAAGCAATACCAAGCAACGCCGATGCACACCAAACCATATGAAACAGTGCTAATACATGTCAGGCAACGCCACGCAGTGCACACAGGAGTTGCATCGCAATGTTTTGCACTGTTCCAGTCTAGTTGAAAGTGTTGGGGAAGGAAGAAACACCCATACTTGAGGCCGTACGCGGCTCCTATCAATGTATGTTGATGTATATGCATTTATATCTATATACACATACACAGACATTATATATATATACATATACACATACATATATGTTTATATATATGTATATAAATAAACATATATCTATATTTTTATACATGTATATACATATGTGTGTGTGTGTATGTGTATCCCGGGCAGGGGGGTCCCGCCCAGGGACCTCGGCGGCGCATGGGGGGCCCAGGGCCTTACTTTCCTTATGTTTTTACAGACACACAAAAAACGGTTTCGGCAATCGGGAGCCAACAAGGCCCCAAGAGGTTGCAGAGAGCTCCAGGAGCTGCTCCCGCCTGGTGCCCTAGGTCTAAGGAGAGCTCCCCGAAGCTCAAACACTTGGTTTTCCCATCGTTTGTCCCAACGTTTTTCTCCATGCTGCCTGTTCAGCATCCCCATGCTGCACGGAAGCCCCAGAGGACGCCCAGACCGTCCCGATTCGGCCCCAGAGGCCCCCAACTTTGTCCCCAGATGGCTCCGCATGGGGGCATCGGCGCGCCCCAGTAGGGTCACAGAGCTGGGTCCCGCCCAGGGACCTCGGCGGCGCAT